GAGGAAATAAAAACAAGATTGTTGTGTTACACCAGAAACATGATTAAAGAAAGAAAACAGATGAACTTTACCACTGGAGATTCTCCTGGGTAAGCCAATTTTACATCTATCACCTTTCCATCTTTCTCCAACTCAACTTCTATATAGAACATGTCAGACGTCAAATAGCAAGCTGTCCCACTGGGGCTTATGTGAAATTTCAACCTATAGAAAAAGGAAAAAGTATCGTATACCTGGAAGTTTTGTTGTATGAAGAAAAAAGGCCAGTTTATTATATTTTGAGAATGTCCACTGCTCTAAATTAGTTGTTCCTTGGTTTAGCATCTAACTAGCCAACCAGAGAATGTACTTGTCATCTACTCTTCTGTGGTTTGAATTATCAATGTGTTTAGCAAATACTTACCTTAGTCTTTGCATGGCTTCCTCAACCTCACCAGAACAACCACTTCTAAGGATGCCACAAATAACTAGAGGAGATAGTTACATGTCCTCTGCTTGTCCATTAGAATGCCAATCCAATAAAGTTCATAAAATATCAAGTAACCAATATGATAATTCTCACTGGGTTTCAGGCAGTTCTGTTTCATTTGCATTCGCTGCATAAACAAACTTACCCCCTTTGTCTGGATAAAAATTCCAATCTGTTCATCACAGTAGACAAAGATTTAGCTGAAAAGAGGAAATTTAATCACGTTTCATTGTACTAGGAAAAAATGGCAATTATTGTGCTTCAAAAAGAATAACTTAATAGTATTGATAATAAGATTAATATTTATTATTAATGAAAAGAGTGAACAATGCTTCAATATTTTATTTGAAGGAGTTAATTCTCAAGGGCAGGTTTTTAGAATAGTTTTAACCCAACTTCAGCCTAAATATTAAATCTGTAATCTCTTTGGGATTGTGTCTTTCTCTGTATTATACACTTCATAGCACAATGGAATCTTAAACCTGATTGTAAATCTCTTAATTTTGAGGTAGTGCCTAATCACCCACCCCTTTTCTCTCCACCCATTTGCTCCCCACCCCAATACAGGCAACTTCAATAAAATGTTTAACAATGGATTAGGATTTTTCTCGCATCTTGTTACCATTTAAAGTCCTCTGTATCTTCTCCAAGCAAGACTGTAAAGGATGATGAGGGGTACTTCGAGGTGGTTTATCCTAGCACAATAGGGGAGACAAAAATATCATTTCAAACATCAGTAGTCTAAAAGGAAACTGGATTCTGTGTACGAATTAGAAAGATTCAAACTCAATAGAAAATAAAAGCAGCTATTCTACACCACAAATTCTGTAATTTCACACACTTGAAAGCAGTTCATGAAGGCACCGATTCTGCAAACACTTACACGCTTATGCATATGAGTAATAATAATAATACCCAGCAGAATACTGTAGAATAAGAATTTTGAATTATTGTATTCCCATAGCATCCATGAGCCCCAATCATAGGCCAGGACCCCATTGTACTATGTGTTGTACAAACAAAGAGAACAAAGATGGTTCCTGGCCCAAAGAGGATACAATCCAAGTACTTAAAATAGCACACAGACTGCTGTCTATGAACTCTTTTAGGCCAAATGCAGGCCTTGTTTGGGAACATGGGTTACTTTCACCAAAATTCCAGAAGTCTTGACTGAATTCTTGGCTTCAGACCGAGCAAAAAAAATGAATGAGCACTAAGTAAAGACTGATTTGTGTAAATATTTACAGGATTGGAGGCCAAGATATATTTGTAAAGGAGAAATTAATTAGAAATTAGGCTCTCCAAGCTACTTATTTACAGGCACTGTGTAAAGGCCTCCAAAAAATCTCTCCTTTTTCCAAACAGTAGCAGTTTTGAAAGTACAGAGTCTGCCATTTTAATTCTTCAACCTGCTCTGGCATAGGTTTAACTATCAGCAAGATTGTGTCCTCATTTTTGTTAAGAGGATATGTTAAATATTAATAAAGAAGCTAGAGGAAGGATACGGACACAAATGTGATTTGCTCTTTCTATAAAGTAATCACGATTTGAAGGAGCCACCACTGTTTATACAAAGAGATACTCAAATTCAGTCACCAACGTGAAGAACCAAAACAACTAGTACCTTAAAAGCTAAAATTATTGTAACCCTTCTGCCAGGTAGCAGCAGCAGCAGCAACCAGGACCAGGTTCAATATCTAGGGGTTCCTATCCATCCAACACAGAAGTGGCTCGAGTCCCCACCCAGTAATCTGGGAAATTCACATAACACCCCTGGGGGCCTCTGAGAGGCAATGCTTCCCCACTCACAAGCACAGAGTCTGAGTGTAGAAAAAAAAAACCTTTAATAAAAGGGGAGGGAAGTAACATGGCATTAAACTTGGGGAAACACCACAAACCGATTTCATAATCAAAACCATAACAGTCCCACTCCAAGTGGGTTGGGCAACGTCCTTTTCCTCTCAGGTTCTTAAATCCAGCAATCTAAATGTCCCCATCACATGCCCAACCCTTCTCTGTACCCCACTCATAGTCACTGCCTTTGGTCAGGGCAGATCCAGAGATCAGAGGTGCATCTGCAGAATCTGCCTTCCATCCTGAGTGGAGAGGGGCGGGGAGAAAGAGGTAAAGAGGCATTTTACTCAGTCCATTGACCACTCGCCATCCACCTGCCCCCTGCCGCCACTTTGCTGGCCATTTGTCTCATCTTACTGCTGCCACTCTGCTAGCTGCTCATTACACCTTTCCATCGCCTTTCTGCTGGCTGCTCATTGCAACTTCTGCTGGCTTGTGGTAGATTTGGCTCTGGGCCAGACCTGGTGATTTCTGTTCTCTGATTTTAGCTCTTTTCCCAAAACACAGTCCAGTCACAAAAAATTCCAGCAGTGAATTTAAAATAATAAAAGATATTCCTTATGCAGTCTGTTCTAGTTCTATCATTAGAACAGTGGGGCGAAACAGGTCGAACCAGTCTTACAGTTCGTGCCTGGAGAGCCTGCAGCCTGCTGATTCAGAGTCCTGTCCTCCCCAGTTAACTTCACAGGGCTTGGCAGGGAAACCCTTGTCTATCTGAGGTTCTTTACACTGACAGTCTCCTTTGAGCTAAGTTAAACACAGTCTGACTTTTCTGCATTCTCACAATAGCTGCAAGCATTGGTGATCATCTCTCACAAATCCTGCATTTAGTGTTAACACAGTTTGTGACCCCACACAGCCAAATTGGTGACAATGAGCGTAACACCATTTGTAATAGTTGATTATCTAGCAGTCCTAAGCAAACTGAGTGTTCTGTATTTACATGCACACGCCCAGAATCTCATTCTTTAAACTGAGAACGTTTCGCTCCTTTGTGCCAGGTTAAGCACAGACTCTCTTCTTTTGAATTCCCCCAAATAATTACATTGCAATTAGTATGAACACAATTTGTGACCCAACACCAGCCAAGTTGATTACAATGAGCAAAACACTATTGTAACAACCAAATATCTAACACATCTAAGCAAAGCAGGGGCAAACTGCATTTACACACCCAGGATTGCTTTCTCATTCCAGCCGGCTGGAACAGAAGCCTTGATTCATACCCCACTTACATTATAAAAGATAATGAATAGGAGCTTCCCTACTAATGCTCATTCCCTCTTGAATGGCCAAATCCTGAGCTCCTTTTGCAGGCCTCAAGACAGCAATAGTTTATGCACATGCTTAACTAGGACTATTCACATTGCACAGAGTTAAAGATATGTCTAAGTCTTTTGTTGAATCACAACCTTAGGGCTCACTCATTCTTTATTGAGGCTAAGTCCCACTAAAGGATAAAACCTGAGTGAAGCCCTCAAGCCCCTAAGTAGTATTATGAACATTGCTAAGATTATCAAATGACGCTTGCATTTGGCCGGAAAGAGTTAGTGCAAGGATCTACTTTCCATTGTTTAAACAAATCCATGTCGATTGTTGTAGGATAAACAGAAGCCAGACTCTCATAGATATAGGAAAGCTCCATGGAAAAGCTTTGGTTTAAAAAAAAAAAAAAAGTTCCAGAAAAATTTCAGATTAGTTGGAGACATTTCTGTTATTTGCCCTATGGTCAAACATTGTCAGCTTAGCCAGCTACCAACAAACCTGCTAATATTTCTTACCATGCAAAGACGTACACATTTCACAGTTTCAATCCATGGTTTTTGTGCATATTTTTGATGCAGTCTGTCCATTAAAACATTTGATGAAATAAGTTTCACAGGATCTGGAAAATATTTTGAAATTTTCTAACATACAACATTGTATTCTACAGGTTACTTCATCAATAAAAAAAAAGGTTTGTTCATTATACAGAGAGGAGTTTATAGATGTTGCACTTCAGGTGAGGAAATAGAGGAAAGATGGATTTTTATTTTGTGATAATAGACAGGGTTGAAATTTCTCAGGGTGCATTTCAGTGTGTTAGGGTATTTTCCTGTATCTTTCAGGGTTCGCATGCAGGCAAGTGGAGACTCTCTTTCAAAACAACTACAAATAAAAAAAGCCTGGTCAAGTCCCACTGTTTTCAAGTGACTTGCTATATCCATGCATAGTTTGGCATGTGTATTCCCTTTCCACATTGACACTACAGGTCATACCTCTCTAAACCGGGATTCTCTTGTCCAGATGTTCCTGAATGAGAGACCCCCAGGGCAGGAAGGCCAGCAGCTGAGAGCCCTATGCACAGCAAGGCTGGTGGCAGCAAGGTCAGAGCCTCAGCAGCCCAGTGGTAGTAGCAGAGCTGTGATAGTGAGGCTGTGGCAGCCTGTGCGTGCCGGCCCAGCAGCAGAGCTGGTGCTGCAGCAGCTTGTTTAGTGCTGCATGCTAGTCTGGCAGCAGGGGCAGGGCCATAGCAGCCTGGCTTGCAGCAAGGCTAGGTCACTGCAGCCCACCATGGGAAGCCCATCTGGGGCTACAGCAGGCCAGCAGTTCAACTGAAGCTGCATGCCAGACCAGCAGCAGGGCTGGCACTGCCATGGCAACCCAGCTGGGAACAGGGCAGCTCACCCAGGGCCACGTGCCACCCAGTAGCGGGGTTGATGCCATGGCAGCTGGGGCTGCATGCCTCTGTGCTGGCAGTGGGACTGGAGCAGCAGCTCTGGCAGCAGGACTGGGGCAACTGTGTCACCCGAGTGGCAGTGGGGCCCAAGGAGCCAGCGGCGGGGGGGGGGGGGCGGGG